AGTTAGAGGCCTTAAACACGAGCGAGTTATTCTTTGGTCTATCACCGCTGGTAATTGTCTAGACGCTGTCTGAGAGAAAGGAAAAGGTTAACAGTTAGTTAAGAATATTGAAAAGGCCATGGGAGGTCCCGTCCGCAGCCAACAGCATTGGAACAGGCAATCAGAAACCACTGAAATTAAGTGGGGTTGTCATTTGTCCAATTAGCCACTTACCAGTTTGATTGTCGAAGACCTTATGGCTGAATTTAAGCCAATTTTGTTCAAATCAAAAGCCAATATTGCAACAAGTTTGAATTCACATTCGGTGTTTTTTTGTGCTGTGATCAATAAAGGACAAACTTCAAAGCTTATTGGTTGAACTTCAACAATCTCTGACTAGGGGAGATGCGATGAGGTAGATAAACTCCACTGCTCTTTGTTCTAGACTCTATAGGGTATCAAACATTATGTAGTTTATGTCACCCAATACTGTATTAAACCCGAGATGGAGCCCGTATAGTGATATTTGACTGTATAAACTGCAGTTCTTTAGCAATATTTTGCGGGTTTTTTTTAGAAGACAGGACAAAAGAACCATATAAAAATACTTTACAAACCAAAAATACACTGTGTATATAAACATTATTTTGCTTTGCTAAGCACGACTCCCTAAGGGTTACGATTTTACGGGTATTTGAAGGTTTCCTATCCAGTATTTCCTAACCGAATCAAATTATCCTCGAAATAAAAAGCTATGTTTCCTACGAAGCGTACGTCCCATCACTTGGATTGGATGATTTATACCATTCCTAATTAATTGAGTTAAAACTCTGAATAACGTATCAGCAACTTTAGACAACCATGTATTTATTTACATTTGGGAAGATAATATTGACACCAGGCACTTGAATTTGTTTTGTTTTTTTTTAAAATCTTTTTGGAGGTCCGAACGGGGAGCGATGGGTAGCCTGACAGGATGTGTAGAATTAAGAAATATGTCTTTGAAAACGCAAGTAGTATACCTTTAAATGTGTGCTTGCGTACAGTGCCCTTTTCTTACTGTCATTCAGTTATCTAACAAGGCAATAATCAACTTCTGACAATTACACCATTAGATCATTTTCACGTCGCATTTACCAAGGCATAAATTTTAACGATAAAAAACCTTAATCATAGCAATAATAACACATGCATGATTTTAATCAAAATGTTACAGACCCAAGGCATATCTAGAGACTTAAATGAGCACTGCAAAGTCAGCTAAGTCCATCTAGTTTAAAAGTTATTCAACCGGCTAGATAAGGGATAAAGTCACATTTATTGGGCTAGAATCGAATTCAGATTATTTACAAATTGTGTTTAATCATACGAACTGTAGTATTTTCTTACAGTTAACAAATTATGATACGTATCCTAAAAAAGCACATCAAAACTCTGGGTAATCTCAGCGGATGTACTCGTTACCAGGAATTGCCGTTTCTTGCTAGTTTATTTGTCTCCCTTGTTGGATCTTTTCTCCTAATCAAAAACTAAATCAATTACCATATGCTTGGACTGACTTGATCTCAAATATCAGCCATAAAAACCATCAGTTTCCCTTTCTATGCAAGTACAAATTACATGTTAGTGCAAATTTGTAGATTGCAGATTTTTCCATATTGTTTGACAACATGCATTTTACTTTCGGTTTCAGTGAAATGACTCCCATCAAAGCTTAGCCGCATTTTTATACATTTGGCATTATCTATACCTGATACACAGTGGAATTAAATGGAATTAAATTGTATTTCATAACATGGTTATATTATTCATAATCTGTTTATAGAAGGCAAACCTATTTTATCAGACAACAAGATTAGTTTGGTTTATTTTGAATTCGAATTAAATGTTTGTATAGTGTTATTGTACGCCTAAAATCTTTGAAAATAATAATTTATTCAGCTTATATATGTACATCAAAAATCTACCACCACACCCATTCCCCCCCCCTGCATATCCAGACTGCATAAACAGTTGCGTGGATACTTATGTACTAGTGCGCACATACCGCCATTGCTGACAGCTGTATGTCTTCTGTACTTTTAGGCGAAGTGACGACGGTTACTATGAATATCCACGTGTTTGACTTCGAGCATATAGATGAGCTCCGTTGGGTACGTATCTGCATCAAGTGATAGTGTGGTAATAACAAAGATAATATTACAAAAGATGTTCAAATGAAAATCCAGTTTCTTTCTATTTCGCTGCTACTTGCAAGAGCAAGTAACTAACAGTTGTGCCATTATCAGGGTAATATGTTTTCAAGTAAAGTTGATGATTCTTGGCAAGTGATCTTAATGTAATGTGAAAAGAAACTTGTATTAAAGGTAAGTTCGCGTTACCCCTCTCTATCTGTAACTATAGGGCACCTCCCTCTCGTTCATGATGTATATTTTAATGCAATATATAATAACTGATGATTTAACCCCACGCTCTGCTACAACTGTGATAGAGGGAGAGAGAGAGAGAGAGAGTGAATGACATATTCATGGTCTTGAACCTTTACGTCTACAGCAAACCTAAACAGCCTTTGCAAATATTGCTTTACGGGGAACAACACCAAAGATAGTCCTTAATTCAATTACCCATGTAGGTCTTTCGATTTTTTCTTAGACGTATTACTTTTTCGGTTTTGGTGATTAATGAAGAGAAATTACGGCCCAGCATTCACAGATATTTCTTGGAAATCTTGATCATGTCCTGTGAGTGTCAAGACTAATTAGGATTGTTCAGACTAGGACAACTTTAGACCGGAAACCTGTCCGACTGGCGTTGTTTCGTAATTTTCAAACTGTACTCACATCTTTTTATTTCTTTTCTTTTAGGAGTACTCAATCAACGTTTATTTTCGCCAAAGATGGCTAGACCAGCGCCTCCGTTTCCCAGGCAACCTGACCAAGCCGTTACAGCTTCATTATAATAGCATCAACGAACTGTGGCAACCCGACTGTTTCTTTAAGAACAGCAGACGAGCTCATGGCCACGACATTGCAGTGCCCAACCGCTTGATTAGGGTTTACCCCAACGGGGAGGTGTTCTACAGTCAAAAGTAGGTTTCACTGGCATACGATAGAAAAGAGTAAAAAAAAACTGTGCGACATGTTAGAACAGTTCCTCCAAGATTCCATATTATGGAATTAAGAGAGAGAGAGAGAGAGAGAGAGAGATGGGTGAAATATATGTCTTAGCCAATTCCTCTAACTAGCACAGCCAGCTACCTTGCGTTGAACAGGAATTCTAAAGGGACCCTTCGCAATGTCCAATTATCACGCATGTAAAGGCAACATCGTTTCTATAGTGCAGTAATCTTTTCTGTAATTGATAGCTCGTTTCTTTTTCCTCTGAGACTCATGAGACATATGTTCTTACGTGAACGAAGGTGTCTCGTAGCTCCTCAGCTATAGTACATGTATTTTGTCGTTTGTCAAGCCTAATTCCATTGCCGTTATTATAACAGTACTACGCCGGGGTATGAAACAAGTCCCTTTCTGATTTGAAAAACTTACTTAAGTCACTTATTTTTGCGAAGTCCAAAATAATAACCAGCAACAGATTATTCTCAAAGGAACGCGGTAATCTGCAGCTGCATCTGATTCACAAATATACTAACAAGTTACTTCCCAAAGGAATTGTTTTATTACCACATGAAAAGTTTGTTTTATCATCTCCCCTGCATCTTCATTTTCCGTTCTGAATACCAGCTAACTGGATATCCAATTGTGCTCTGTTAATCGTTGATTACGTGTTGTTTCATTATCTGTTGAAACCATATTGTCAATACTGTTTGCCGCTACGATACTTGTGAACGAACAAAAATGTTCTCTTTTTGGCTAAAAAGTCGATGTTTTGTTTGTAAATCAACAATATCTTCAGACAAATGGTGATTACTCTCTTTTACATTATGCTGTAACGGCTGCCTGTCATGCTTAGTATTTAAATGAATCAGCTTACAATCAAAGCGAATACCCCAACTTCCGTGATTTATTTCATATTGTTTCAGATTACTGACATGCACAAAAGCATTTAAGTATTTTCCGTACAATAGTCGCTGATTGCAAACAAATACTCAAGAATACAGTCATTAAATATATGGAGTTCATTAAATGACTTTCTTCAATGGTGCTGTGACAATGCGTGTGTTTCAGACTGACTCTGTACCCATCCTGCAAGATGGTTTATCACAGTTTCCCCATGGACAAACAGACTTGTTACCTGCAGATTGTTAGCTGTAAGTTGTTTATCTTAATGCAGTGTTCCAATGAAATATTTGATATATGTATTCGGCATATGCTGGGAGACTGCTGTTCACATTATAATGTCTTTATATATTTTTTGATATGATATGTTTGCGTACATGTAAAGCAATTTTGAATCTAACCTAATAACTTGCCGCAAATAATTATTACTGAACCCACTGGTATGTCAGAAAAACTCTTAATATATACACGTTTCGTTAAATATATGTGTACCATGAATGTAAATTTAAACAGTTNATTGTTCAGACTAGGACAACTTTAGACCGGAAACCTGTCCGACTGGCGTTGTTTCGTAATTTTCAAACTGTACTCACATCTTTTTATTTCTTTTCTTTTAGGAGTACTCAATCAACGTTTATTTTCGCCAAAGATGGCTAGACCAGCGCCTCCGTTTCCCAGGCAACCTGACCAAGCCGTTACAGCTTCATTATAATAGCATCAACGAACTGTGGCAACCCGACTGTTTCTTTAAGAACAGCAGACGAGCTCATGGCCACGACATTGCAGTGCCCAACCGCTTGATTAGGGTTTACCCCAACGGGGAGGTGTTCTACAGTCAAAAGTAGGTTTCACTGGCATACGATAGAAAAGAGTAAAAAAAAACTGTGCGACATGTTAGAACAGTTCCTCCAAGATTCCATATTATGGAATTAAGAGAGAGAGAGAGAGAGAGAGAGAGATGGGTGAAATATATGTCTTAGCCAATTCCTCTAACTAGCACAGCCAGCTACCTTGCGTTGAACAGGAATTCTAAAGGGACCCTTCGCAATGTCCAATTATCACGCATGTAAAGGCAACATCGTTTCTATAGTGCAGTAATCTTTTCTGTAATTGATAGCTCGTTTCTTTTTCCTCTGAGACTCATGAGACATATGTTCTTACGTGAACGAAGGTGTCTCGTAGCTCCTCAGCTATAGTACATGTATTTTGTCGTTTGTCAAGCCTAATTCCATTGCCGTTATTATAACAGTACTACGCCGGGGTATGAAACAAGTCCCTTTCTGATTTGAAAAACTTACTTAAGTCACTTATTTTTGCGAAGTCCAAAATAATAACCAGCAACAGATTATTCTCAAAGGAACGCGGTAATCTGCAGCTGCATCTGATTCACAAATATACTAACAAGTTACTTCCCAAAGGAATTGTTTTATTACCACATGAAAAGTTTGTTTTATCATCTCCCCTGCATCTTCATTTTCCGTTCTGAATACCAGCTAACTGGATATCCAATTGTGCTCTGTTAATCGTTGATTACGTGTTGTTTCATTATCTGTTGAAACCATATTGTCAATACTGTTTGCCGCTACGATACTTGTGAACGAACAAAAATGTTCTCTTTTTGGCTAAAAAGTCGATGTTTTGTTTGTAAATCAACAATATCTTCAGACAAATGGTGATTACTCTCTTTTACATTATGCTGTAACGGCTGCCTGTCATGCTTAGTATTTAAATGAATCAGCTTACAATCAAAGCGAATACCCCAACTTCCGTGATTTATTTCATATTGTTTCAGATTACTGACATGCACAAAAGCATTTAAGTATTTTCCGTACAATAGTCGCTGATTGCAAACAAATACTCAAGAATACAGTCATTAAATATATGGAGTTCATTAAATGACTTTCTTCAATGGTGCTGTGACAATGCGTGTGTTTCAGACTGACTCTGTACCCATCCTGCAAGATGGTTTATCACAGTTTCCCCATGGACAAACAGACTTGTTACCTGCAGATTGTTAGCTGTAAGTTGTTCATCTTAATGCAGTGTTCCAATGAAATATTTGATATATGTATTCGGCATATGCTGGGAGACTGCTGTTCACATTATAATGTCTTTATATATTTTTTGATATGATATGTTTGCGTACATGTAAAGCAATTTTGAATCTAACCTAATAACTTGCCGCAAATAATTATTACTGAACCCACTGGTATGTCAGAAAAACTCTTAATATATACACGTTTCGTTAAATATATGTGTACCATGAATGTAAATTTAAACAGTTGTATGAAACGCTGTTGTGATAGAGTCTTAACATTTCTGCCCAGATGCCCACACGATGGAAGAGCTGGTGTTTCGATGGAAGGACGTAGACGGAGTCACAATCGAAGAAGATCTGGAGCTTCCGCAGTTTGACTTAAAGAAGGACGACCTTCGGCACGGCGCCTGCAACAGTGGCTATTTTACTGGTAAACTTCCCCCTCCTAGAACGTTTCGTTTCGAACTTTGCGAACCGTTGTTGGGGAAAGCTATACCGCATGATAAAAAAGATTGCAGTAAATATACACTTCCCAGTCATTCACTAGGCTACCGGCTGCCTTTAATTTATATTGATTTGGCGAATAGTTGTAGGAAACTCACTAATTTGAATTGCAGTGATTACTTGGGAAGAAAAATCGAAAATACGACCTGTTGCACCCCAATTAAAGAAGTGCATTTCAGTACACGTTAAGGTTATTTAGAAGAAAATGAAACTATCAGTGCACAATTAAGAAATCTACGTTATTATCAAGTTTTGAAAGGAATGTACTTTCAAACTATCCACATTCGAAATAAAAGTACTGAAATTAAAGTATTAAACATCGAATTTGACCACCTGATTGTATTACAATACTCGAAATTCCCCCTTCTAAACGGTTTTGTGCAAGTCAATCCCAGAAGGGATATCTGTTCTGTATATGTTCTTATGCAATGTGGCAGACGGTGTTGTACATTTTACCCCAAGGTGCTCTGTGGTCGGCATCTTCCCGTAATACATGCTGCTCACCGTCTTATCGCTCTCATTGACTGCGTCAAGCGGTGCTCCGGTTTGGACTAGTGGGAAATGTTTCCAAGTGAAACATGCAGGATTAACCAACCTTTACCAGTAATCTGGTGCGATTACATGTATGTATTGATTCCTTATCCTAAGGGCAATATCGTAAATATTGACGATTTTGTATTAAATCTGAGGTAATATGACAAACGCATGGTATGTGCGTGTCTCTCCGGGGCGCATATCAGCAAGGAACTGATGTTTTTGACACTCGGGTCTTTATTGTGGAGATGTTCTGGCAGATTACATTTTGTAAAATATTGACTGCAGTTTCTGTTAACCTTATTCAATCAAAAAAGTGCCCGTCTTACAAATGACTTTCACGTCTATACATAACGTCTGGCATTCCTCACTGCATGCGATTCTGCTTGTTCGTTCCTGTACCAGAGAAAGTGCTGTACATGTCTTCAAGCATTCTGCATTGCTTTTGAAGGTACCCCACGCTACCAAATAATGTTTTACCATACATCTATACTGAAAAACTCACGTGAATGAATATAAAGAAATCAAATAATTATACATGCACGTACGTTATGTAATCGATAAGAAAAAATACTTCATAATCAGACGCATTTAAAAGAAAGTAGTTTTTTTATCACATAAAGCTAGGTCTTATTAAATTCCACTGGCGATTTCAAAATATGGCATTTTTAAATGCACCACACACACATATATCAATTGCATACAAAAGCGAACTGATTCGATTTTTATTTACAGGTAGTTACGCGTGTTTGTACGTCAAATTCGCCCTGGAACGCAAGCTGGGCTACTACTTGAGCCAGATCTACATCCCGTCTGTCCTGGTGGTCATTCTGTCCTGGGTGTCCTTCTGGCTGGACGTGAACGCCGTGGCCGCCAGGATCTCTCTCGGCGTTCTCTCCATCTTGACCCTGAGTACCCAGAATGCATCAGTGAACCAGACACTCCCGAAGGTAATTATGAATTATACGCACATAACGCTGCGGTCATTGACCATTTGCTGATAGCATCTTAGAATTGGCATCGTTATTGTTTTTTATTCTTAACTAGGTGATATATCATAGTCCTGTTGTCGGTTTGATCTTGGGGCTGTGCGTACTATAAGTGATATCCAGGTAAACTAATGATGGGACCGCAATACCTAGCAGCTAAAAAGAAGCTATAACTACACATAAAGTACACGAGGCGGTCGAGACGCATTATATTTAAGATTCTCAGTACATATAGATAAAGTGTAAGGGCATTCCCGAAGGAATTGCCTATATAGCCATAAGCTGTATTCAGTCAAACGTAAGACGCGGAATAGGTCCAGCACGTGTCATTATCACTTAATGGTAATTGGAACTTTCTCTGCAGGTTTTCTGAAGACAGTGGTAAAACAAAATTCAGATTTAACGAAGTCCTGTTCAACAAACCTTTAGTGTGTCTTTGCAGAACAAGCACTTTTTGGTTATTTTTACGTTTGTTGAAGAGAGGGGGTCTGTCGAGAAAAAACTGTATGGAATAGGCATTGGTTCCCTGCACGAACGACGTCTCTTTATCTTGAAATATTGTCCTGTTATGTGTAATACTAGTATATAGGCTACAGTCAGAGTATGCTTTTCAGGAAATTATTTATATCACCTCTAATTCTTCATTCATTGTATCTTTAACAAAATATCAAAAGGTTAGCATTTTGGCATATTAACATACGGAATCATTTTGATGGGCATAGAAATACAATTGCAGAATGAATGTTTATAGGTAGTGATGGCACTGAACCTCTGCTAGCGGTCCCAGAAGAAAGCAATAATTTTCTGGATTTTGACCAGATTCCGAATTAACACCCGTTGATTAAATAAGGTCGCGTTTCAGCCATGGAGATCATGACGCTTCCAATGGGTAAATTCCGTGTCTGAAATTCACTCCATTTTTAGTTAATTTGGGGGAGTTAAAGAAGTAGAAATCCGTTATAAAATTAGGAATAACTAGGCAGGACGGTCAATAATTAGGCCTTAGGGACTGAATAAACGAACGCTTTAATTGAAAATTTAAGCAAAGCAGTGATACGAAAATAAGGTAAAAGGACATGAATCAGTGCGCTCAATTAAAACGTCAAACGCCATGTGCATCTGGAGGGTTCTTTTGTCAGTTCGCGTTGTCCTCAAAAATGATAAAGGAGGCTGATCTCGTCAACTTGATATTTTTTTCCCCGACAGATCGATGCCTTGAAGTCGTCTGAAAGCCCTGAAATATAATGCTTAATTGAAACTGTAACCCCATATCCGACTCGAATCCGAAAATCGATCTGCATGGATGTTGAAATAGACAGTATACCGCAGAAGGGATGCTATTATAGCATTAATGGAGTGATGAATGACGATAATAGTTGAATCGTACATCATAGTTTCTTTCCATTTCTGCTGGGACTCCGTGTGCTGATGCTGTTGTCCACCTATGCAATTTACTGCTCTCCCTTTCCTTATAATGGAGTGTGAATGAGAAAAAATATACTCGTCTTGCGTGAAAAATATAATTGAAAACGATGTCCATCGATTCCCAAAAAGAAATTTGGGCACATTTCACTATTTCAGTATTTCCTTCTACATTCATATAATAAGGTTTATGCTAGGTGAACGGTTACCTATATGTGTATCTATTGCTTTCAGCGGTCTTTGTTTTCTCACTTTCAGATTTCCTACGTCAAAGCCATTGACGTCTGGATGGCTACGTGTCTTTGTTTCACGTTCTCCGCCCTTTTAGAGTTTGCAGTTGCTCACACTTTGTACAGGAGGAACCACGTGACTCAAACCATAGAGCTTCCGGTGTGTATCAGTCTCTGTTTGTGTTTATTTGGGTACTATTTACGGTGTTTAACCACGTTATGCATAGTTTTTTTAAAGATATTTATCTGTTCTTTTATTGTTTGTTTTAAATCTTCATAAAGAATAGTGTACACAGAGTGAAATACAGGTAGGCCCTATGTTTGCAAACCTTAAGCTTGTTTTAATGTTATTTTGATTCTCAATGTCTTTGCACAGACAAACAAAATGTTTTCAAATTTCAAATGTTCATATGAACAACCAAACAACAACAAAAAATAGATTTTCACCCCGAAAAAGTAGCACACCCCCTTTTTTTTCAGAACTGATCATTACTGAAATCTCACAAACGTCTTAAACAAATTAATATCGTGAGTCACGTCAGGGATAAAATAATTAAATCGCAACTTTTTTGAGACATGCCATGATGGAACGTTATGTCATACCTACGACACAAGATTATTTGATTGTATTTTCAATATTTCAGACTCCCCAGGCCGGCTCTCCCAAGCGTAACGGAAACTCGGGATTGAACCGTGGCTTCTCCTTCGCCTCTCGGGCCAGTGAGTCAGACGGAACATGTCAAGCAAACTGCAGTATGCTTCCCAAAGACTCATGCAAGCGCTTTCATAAAGTGAAACCGAATAAGAAACTGGATGTTATTTCCCGGGTGATTTTCCCGGTCATTTTCGCCATTTTTAATCTCATCTACTGGTGTGTCTACACTCAGGTGTCTTTTAACGTGGATCCGCAACTCGGATAAAGATAAAGTCGGGATGTGTTTTGTAAAATGAACTGTCTTCTGTCTCATGTCATGCTACGTACATGTAATGAACACACAGTATATGAATATCATTATAAGTAACCATAAAGCATTAGTTACGTGAACATCGCGCTTCGCTGTCATCACATATGTATATTTATCATGAGTTTTTATGTTGACAAAGTGGTCAACAGTGTCATCAGACTTATAAATGTTTTCGTGTACATTTATGCTGATAAAGGCTGAAAAAGAGGAAGGCCATTACAAACAATTGATAGTAATGTGTTTGTAAAGAATGCACAGTTCCCATTGTTGATGTTCAGTATTGTGTTAGGTGAGAAAAGGCATTGTGTTGGGTGTGATGAGGCAAGAGCTCACTTCAGGCAAGAGCGCACTTCAGGCATGAGAAAATCAAACGCTGAACACAATCTTATCAAAGTTGCCGTTAGACCCGCTGACAAAACAGCACAATAGGAAAGAAAAGAAGCAAAATCTGATAAATGTGCATATAGTGACTGCTTTGTATAATAAAACATCTATAAGTGACATATTTGGTAATTGTTCAGAAAAAATTAATTCGATAAACATACATGTACCCTCAAAGCCCTTGAAGAGTGTAAATTGGAGGTTAGGTATCCTACAGAGACTTTGATGTATCTTAAAGAGCGACTTGAAAACAGCACTCCAACAGTGCGATACAGTGAGGAAATAAACTCTGTTGAGGACAAGCCATAGATACAGAATTTGTTATGTTTATGCAGCTTTATATTGATGCTAGTTTTCCGGGGCTGACTTGATCTACGTGTATAAGTAAAGGGGCATTTGAACACGTGTGTGATGTTTACATGTGTATCGTTTTTATAAGTTCTGTTATTGTGCACTGAACGTGCTTTAATAGTATTCACGTCTGCAAGTAATTGTATCGTTAACTATTTATGCATTCACTCTGTAGTGGACTATATATGCTATTCTGTACATATACGCCTTGTGTTGGGAGTAAATGGTATGTATATATACACGGAATAAAAACAATGTGATAGTGTTTGGTTTCAAAAAAAAAAAAAAAAAAAAAAAAATCAGAGTTATTCCTTTAAGTTTCCCTAGGTCTCTTATACCGTCGACACGACTGAGTCCGTTGAAAGAAATTAATTTAAATATAGTAAAAAAAAAGTTGATTAAAAATAAAAAGCGTTTTGTTAAGGTGATTGAGCTTCAAATATAACATAGCGTTATTTATTATTAAAAGAAACGGATTGCGGGTGGGGGATAAGAAAGCTCTTTTATAAAGGACCAATTTAATAGTTTTCAAGACAGTTCACATGCACCCATTAGATTTAAACTTTATGTATAATCCGCTTTGTAATCTTCTCACGCACACACAAACAATGCCACGTGAGCATTGGTAATGTAATATTATAGTAAAATCTCCACAACACAGCATCATGGTTCTTTCATATGAAGTAGTCTTTAGTGCTCGCCAACTCGAACTGATGTTTATCCAATACCCTCTACCAGGGCCACAGACTGTTTTTTTCTCTAGACATATCCAAAGATACTGTATATCTCAGGTTAAATTGACAGCTTCATACTGTGAGAGAAAATATCCACAGTAATAACTGCATCCCTGGTAGAGGGAACGTATCCGCTGGCATTTTCATTGCGTGGTTCTTTGGGCCTAAGAGATAAAGCAACGCAGTGGCCATGGTCGATGGACAACGGAGACGCCCCGATGTGATCTTGGATAAGGCTCAAATACTGCCTTAGATATGTTACAGTGTACCTGTTGTTGTGTCGCTTGACATTGAGCGAGAAAGTTCACCTGAAAAAATGCCCCTCTCCCCCATCCAGTCTTCTTGATATTTAAATTTGAAATCTTGCTTGGTGGACTTCTAAAAACCCCTTCTCCTTACCAGGAGCAAGGGTTGGTTTTTCATCAGATTTCCAAATTTACTGGCTAATTACCGGTATGTGCACTAGTACTTTTCTTTTATGCGTTCAGCAGACAAACATTCCCCTCTGCAAACAATATCGTCTCCCTACTGAAATATATATGTACAGGTAAGTACAGTTGCTTAGAACATTAAAGCGATATCACAGTGACGTATACATTAAATAACCGGTACTCTATATAACTGGTTTTAATGAATGTGCTGTCTCAAAATAAACTAAACTTCATATAAAAGCTCTTTGAACGGCTCAGTAACTGAAACGCTGACACCGCAGGTCAAAATCAAGCTTTGTCGTCTCGTGTTGACGGGTCAGCCACGTGATCAAGTCTTTTGATAAAAGGTCAAAACGCCATGCGTCTTATAGGCGAAAAAATGATTAATCTCTAGAAACGATTTACTTTGGTTACTTCTTTACCAGCAAAATGCAATAGATAATGAAAAGTTTGTTTTGACGATATATACATGTTTAGTTGTGACGACCCGATATGTCCGACAGGCTAGATATGTCCTACGACCAGATACGGCCAGATATGTCCGACAAAAAAGAGCCAGATGTGTCCGACAGCCCTATCATTCTTACAGGTTTGCGGCACCTATATTCTAACAACAACAACAACAATAATAATAATAAATAGGATGGAACGCGTACAACAATGAGTGATAAAACAACATGAAATCATTTGCTTTAAACTGGGTGATACAAATGAATATTCAAATTCCTCTAAAACAGTTTCAGGCAACTTGAGCGTGTATTACTGTATACCAATGCTTATTTACTTTGGGCGATAAGGGGATCAGTTTATGTCCTTCAGAGCACGACCGCGTGCTTTGTAACTTTTTTTTTGCGACATACAGTGCAGATCGTCATGCCTGAATAGTATAGGTACTGATGTTGCTATTTAAAAGACATGGATGATAGAGGCGCTGATATAGTATATATCTTTAAAACTAAGGCTACAGTAGGTCTAAGACTTGACCAGAACATTTTCATAGTAACTGCCATGGCAAAATATCCATTCTCTTTTTGTAGAATCCTGATTTTAAATACACTTGATTAGATATTTTTTGCTGACCACAGCTTTGTTGAATATGATTGACCAAAAACTGAGGCAAGGATAACTAACCTACATATTTATATTCAACAGTGTTTTTTAAACAAATCAAAAGAATCGCAGTCGTTTATGTAAGGTTCACTCTCAAACCCTATGACGAATTAGGGTAATGCTACTTGATTACGTGTTATGTACATCAATCGTATAAACGTGCTGCATCTCACAGGCGTCTGAGTTTTGTTTCGTGTCCTTCTCTTCAGATCCCCCGTCGGGGTTCACTTCATCCGCAGCTGTATAATATGCATACGAATACTCGTCATCAAACGGCGTCCATGGGACCTCAGCAGCGCCAAGTTCTTGATACTCAGGTCGACCGTCATTGTCCTCGCTCATGGCGGATCCATCGATGTATTCGCTTTTGACAAGAGACATGTAATTGTTAGCGTGACTCACAGAAGCACCTGTGTTTACCATGGGCTGCTGACTGGATGTGAGATCTGCTGTTCTTCGTTGTTCCTAATAAATATGTTACATTCAAAATGCTTAAGTTAGATATAGATAATAAATATTTAATGAATAACATAATTATGACATAAATATGTAAAACCCTTATTTTCTCATAATTTTACCATTGCAACCACTTCATAGTTATTTCCATGTTTAAGTTCCGTACTCAAGTATGATAAAATCAAGAACAAAATCCTTACCTGTGCTTTTCTTGGATTTGATTGAACTGACCTGCAACGAGAAAAATATGAACTGTAGCTTTAAGATATCTCTTTTTAAAGTAATTTAAGTAAACGGTCCGTTTCTATTGCACTTTACATAAATGCGACACCCAGGTGCTTACTATAAGTCAAACCTATCCTAATTGAACATTTTTGTACTTTTTCACAGATTACACATTACCTCTCAGAGCTGTCCTGTTCCCTCTTTGCCATTGCAAATATAACACACTGTACAACGACAACAGCCGCCAGCGCCACTGATGTCAAGACTCCGGCTACAACCCCGAGAGTGTTATCTGAGTTTGACCAGGGAATTATATCGGATATAATTCCCAGGTTTGACGCCCTCCCTGGCGTTGTGGCTGAGGTTGGGTCTATAGAGGTCCCTGAAAGTATGGCGGAGTTTTTATACCCGACACAATGAGGGACATGAACAAGCTACGGATTGGGAATTTTCCTGGTGACTTTGTGCCCTTCTTTATCAACACGAAAAGAGATACAATGCCGAACTGAGTTTAATTTCTTCCATTTTACTTTAATATTCTCACCCGTTTTAAATAAATCTAGTTTTTGAAAAAAGTTATAAACATGTACAGCACACACATTCTTTCTAGGCGCCTCGGTGAAATATAAAAGTATTCAAATGTCTTTTTTTATAAAATCAAAATTTATAAATAAAGTTTCTTTTAAACGTGCTTCTTCAATGGGAATATAAACACGACTTTACATTAGTTAAGTATAAATTTGTTTCTAAATTTCGTATCATTGTTTTAATAGCTTACCAGCAGAAGTATCAGACATCAAACCAGATGTTGTAATGTCAGGTTTGGAAGTCGTGGTGGGTTTTTGGGAAGTGGGAACAGACGTAGGTATTATTTTCATAGTACTAGTAGTCACTAATGCGGTTAGGGTGGAATTTGAAGTGTTTTGTGGACAAGTGAGTCGCCTACAGTACTCCACAGGAGTACCGCAGCTGCCGTTGGATGCACGGCTACAGTTGCTAAGTCTCCATCTGCCAGTATTGCACAAATAAAACTGTGCGCAATCTGCAGGATTTGGAGCAAATGCACCCTCTGGCGCACAGTTCTCGTCATAGTATCCACACGGCCAGGAATCTTCATGAAAATAAATAAATAAATAAACGCAACAGTGATAAAGGCACCGTAAAGTTAATAAAACGTGTTTCACCCCATACATCTATAGTTGTAACTGTTTACCAGTTGTTGTATGTTCAGGTACGAAATAAGAGGAATATGGCCCTGCACTACACATCATATATATGTACCTGTACTAGCAACGCAACGCTATTCAAGAACCAGTACAAGCACGGTTATAATCAGTGAATACTATTGGCGAAGATATTTATATGCACTGTAATACTTACTACTACCTGGCGCCCAATAGTTCACTAAAAAACACAAACAAAGGATGCCGAGGTGATATAATGACATTATTGTAATATATTTATGACGGACACAACACATCGGTAACCGCCGTGTTGTCGACAGGTACAAATGTACGAAAAAAACAACAAGGAAGTAAATTCTTAGGTCAACCCAATAACGTTGAATCTAGACATGAGCTGGGTACTCCACATCTATCATATGGTATTTTCTCCCTGTACATAGTGAGCATGTGAATGACTGCACCCAGTTCGCTGAGCTCCATTATTGCGTTTCTGCACTGCAGGGGAAGAATAAAGTTAGCTTTTGGAAACCGGAGTGTGTGCCTCCCTGTCTGCTCATCTATTTACACGAATTAAATATCACGAAATTGTATTGCAACGTTTAAGTACTGAAGCAGGTGGATGTGTTTACATGTTTGGTGCTCTGAGACAAGGGGTGGAGGTCATTTGGGAGGATTAGGGGTGACCTCAAAACTTGTGTGACGGTATTATGAGGACGGTAATACCTTTATTCAAACAATAATAAAAATAGAATCGGTTTCAGTTTGTCGATCTGACAGATTTGTTCTGAATTTGTGATAACTTTAGAGCACAGATGTTTTAATCCCGAAAATAAATGTCAAACACGTGACCAGTGGTATTTGTTCTGAACCATTGAACGGCCATTACGTCTCTAAATCTTGAAATATTAAATTATGTCGACATGAATCCATACACTTGAGCTTGTTGTATAATACCCATGATCTGTTATTCGTAAAAGCTAGAGACATCTATTTTTTGAAAAAAAATTCAAAGGATCTGCACTTAAATGCTATTTAAAGTCAAATCTCATTAAATTCTTTGAAATTTTCATTGTCAAATCCTTATGAAGCTTATTAATGCCTGTGTGGTTACTGTAATCCATTGAAATACATATGTTGTAACTCATAGACGTCTGATTTATGTTTCTTGTCATGTTCTCCTGGTTCTACATTGGCTTTCATGCCACCAGCAGAAGCATATGCATACGAATACTCGTCAGTAGATGGCGGCTCAGCCGCACTAAGTTCTTGATAACCATTTCTGTCGCCATTGGCCTCGCTCATGGCGGATCCATCGATGTATTCGCTTTTGACAAGAAACATGTAATTGTCACCGATACTCCTGGAAGCAGCTGTGTTTGCCATGAGATGCCCATTGGACGTGAGATCTGTTGTTCTTGGTTGTTCCTGATAAATATTATATTGGATACTATTAACATATTGAACAGATTGGGAATAGTTATTAGAAAACAGTTTTGGTTATGTTTTCATAGCTAAAAACCCATTTCAATTATTATTTACAAAGCGATTATTAAAAAAATGTATTCCTTACCTTTGCTACTGCTTGAATAGATTGATCTGACCTAAAATGCATACAACGGTGGTTTCAAGAAAAACATATAGATTAAATAAACTGAATAGGTATTTTCATTCTTGTGCCAAATATATATATATATATATATATATATATATATATATATATATATATATATATATATATATATATATATATATATATAAACTTTGCTGTAATATGTCACTTGACGATTTAGGGAAGTAATAATATATCAAAATGTATGTATGTATGAAAAACATTGAACACAGACTCCTAAACTCCTGTAGATAATACTCAAAAAATGCCGCAGTAGTTTTTAAAAAACGAGTCTGTACCTCTCATTACGTTTTCTTCTCCTCCACAGAATCACATGCCCCAAACACTGTATAATGTTAAGTAGTGCCAGCGCTACTGATGTCACTATACCGGCTACAGCGCCAGGGGTGAGAGAATTCTGGAAGACAAAACCCCTTCCGGTTGCTCTGTCCAAGATTGGTTCTGTAGAGGTCACTGAAAGTATAACAGAGTTTTTTTATACCCGATACAATGAGAAATATGACCTTGGTTCTGATCGGGAACTTTACAGATAAATGAGTTCAAATATTTTCATTTTTCTTTAATATCCTCACTCGTTTTAATAAATGTAGTTTTTCAACAAATAAAGGTATATACATCGTATACATATTTTTGTGGACGCCTCTGTGAATATATTAGTAGTCATTTTTTTAAATCAGAATTTGTAAATCAAGTTTCCCTTTAACGCGTTTTCCATGGGAAAATAAACAAGACATTAGATAAGTTTAAGTATAAATTTGTTTCTAAATTTCTATCACTGTTTTTATAACTTACCAGCAGCAGTATCAGACATCATGCCATATGTTGTAATGTCAGTGTATGAAGTGGTAATGTGTCTGGGGGAAGTGGGAACAGACCTGGGTGTTATTTTCATAGTTGTCATTTCTGATGTTGGGGTGGCCATCGTTGGCGAAGTGACTTGTGGACAAGTGACAGTTCTACAGTATTGCACTGGAGTACCACAGTAGCCAGGGGATAAAATGCTACAATTGCGAAGTAGCCATTTCCTATACACGCACATATAGTACGACGTGCAATCCGCAGGATTTGGAGCATATGTACCTCCTCCTGGACAGTTCTCATCATGAAATCCACACGGCCAGGCCACTTTTCATTAAAACAAATAAACGCAACAGTTATAAAGGCACCGTAAAATATATTACGCTTAATTAGTTCACCTCATACAACTACAGTAACTGTTAACCTGTTGTTATATGTTCAGCTTAGTGATAAGAGGAATAGCCCTGCACTACACATCTTATATAGGCCCTATGTTCTAGCAACGCAACTCTGCTCAAGAACAATTACATGTACGGTTATAATCAGTGCATAACATTGGCAAAGACTACATACTGTACATGTACTTACTTGTACCGCTACTAACATTGAGAATCAATGTTATACTTACTGCTACCTGGCGCCCAATGGTTCACTATAATGCACAAACAAAGAAGGCCGAGGTGATACACTGACATTATTGTACTATATTTATGACGGTAACCGCCATGTTAACAACAGGTGCAAAAAACAAGGAAGTAAATTCTAAGGTCAATCCGATAACGTTGAAACTTGACATGAGCCGGGTTCTCAACATCTTCAACCATGGTACCTGTACTTTCTCCTTTAATATAGTGTTCATGTGAATGACCGCACCCAGTTCGCCGAGCTCAATTACTGCACTACAGGAGAAGAATTACTAAATCAAGTTTCTTTTTGGAAAAAGGAGCGTGTGCCTCCCTCTCCGCTCTTCTAGATCACAAAATGGTACTGCAAAGTTTAAGTACAGAGACAGGGGGATGCGTAGACATGTGCGGTGCACTGAGACAAGGGTGGAGGTCAGTTGGGGGAGGGGGAGGGGATAACCCCAAATGTTCATCGTGCATGGGTGTGGGTATTATGAGCATGGTTCTACACGTATGTGTCTCATGACGTCTTATCACCCCCTCCGCGTTCCTCTGCAAAATACCTGCTCTGGTCATAAAATACCTTTATTTAAACAATAAACTGAAACTGAATCAAGAACTCTGCGTTGTCCACGCAGACAGAACTGTTGACCCTCATGCTGATGCAGGTGCAGAGGAAAGGCGCTGCCAGTCAACCCAAGACCACTCTCTGTATCTTCGTTTTCAGACTCATGATCGCATTCAGCGTCCTTGTTAAATTGAGGCGTTGGATTACCGCTGCTCTGGAGCGATGTTGAAGGTTGCAGATGAGGCATAGCGTTGTGTGAAGAGGAAGCACACTTCAAGCTGTCTGTGGGAAGAATGACGGCGACGTCTATTGTATGCGCTGGATGCTGAGCTTACAAATGTAGGACTTGTCAGCGACAGTTCACTCAGCAGTTTTTTTCAGCGACAGCTGTCTTCTCAGCGGCCCTCGACGACAGCGGTCTTCTCAGCGGCCCTCGACGACAGCGGTCTTCTCAGCGGCCCTCGGCGACAGCGGTCTTCTCTGCAGCGGCCCTCTATGACAGCGGTCTTCTGAGAGATCCTGTAGCCAGACGATTGGTGGAGGTATGTCTAAACTCTCATTAAAACTGTGGATGACTGTACTCAAACAAGCCAGGTTCCAAGCAATGGTGAAATTATATTGAAAGGAACTTGTTTCCACGTTATAATTGCACTACAGACATGTTAAACTAAAAGGCACTAATATCCGACAAGTATATTATGGACGCATTCAGATTCGCACGTGGTACTAGCTTGTTCGATCCAACTCTGCGTGGGATTCTCGCTTAAGTACCATCGGTGGGATCACCTTAATCAGCACAGGATACTTAATCACCCGTAACTCCTCAAGAAGGCCTGTTAGACAATTAAGTTTAATACACTGATTGCACTTGAAGGAGAATCTCTCGCACAGTTGGACTGACCCAGCTTTTGCAATGTGTAAATCCGATGTGTAAATCCAATGTGTATNGGGGGTCTGTCGAGAAAAAACTGTATGGAATAGGCATTGGTTCCCTGCACGAACGACGTCTCTTTATCTTGAAATATTGTCCTGTTACGTGTAATACTAGTATATAGGCTACAGTCAGAGTATGCGTTTCAGGAAATTATTTATATCACCTCTAATTCTTCATTCATTGTATCTTTAACAAAATATCAAAAGGTTAGCATTTTGGCATATTAACATACGGAATCATTTTGATGGGCATAGAAATACAATTGCAGAATGAATGTTTATAGGTAGTGATGGCACTGAACCTCTGCTAGAGGTCCCAGAAGAAAGCAATAATTTTCTGGATTTTGACCAGATTCCGAATTATCACCCGTTGATTAAATAAGGTCGCGTTTCAGCCATGGAGATCATGACGCTTCCAATGGGTAAATTCCGTGTCTGAAATTCACTCCATTTTTAGTTAATTTGGGGGAGTTAAAGAAGTAGAAATCCGTTATAAAATTAGGAATAACTAGGCAGGACGGTCAATAATTAGGCCTTAGGGACTGAATAAACGAACGCTTTAATTGAAAATTTAAGCAAAGCAGTGATACGAAAATAAGGTAAAAGGACATGAATCAGTGCGCTCAATTAAAACGTCAAACGCCATGTGCATCTGGAGGGTTCTTTTGTCAGTTCGCGTTGTCCTCAAAAATGATAAAGGAGGCTGATCTCGTCAACTTGATATTTTTTTCCCCGACAGATCGATGCCTTGAAGTCGTCTGAAAGCCCTGAAATATAATGCTTAATTGAAACTGTAACCCCATATCCGACTCGAATCCGAAAATCGATCTGCATAGATGTTGAAATAGACAGTATACCGCAGAAGGGATGCTATTATAGCATTAATGGAGTGATGAATGACGATAATAGTTGAATCGTACATCATAGTTTCTTTCCATTTCTGCTGGGACTCCGTGTGCTGATGCTGTTGTCCACCTATGCAATTTACTGCTCTCCCTTTCCTTATAATGGAGTGTGAATGAGAAAAAAAAAATACTCGTCTTGCGTGAAAAATATAATTGAAAACGATGGCCATCGATTCCCAAAAAGAATGTCAATTTTGGGCACATTTCACTATTTCAGTATTTCCTTCTAGATTCGTATTAGTTAGGTTTATGCTAGGTGAACGGTTACCTATAAGTACATCAATTGCTTTCAGTGGTCTTTGTTTTTTCACTTTCAGATTTCCTACGTCAAAGCCATTGACGTCTGGATGGCTACGTGTCTTTGTTTCACGTTCTCCGCCCTTTTAGAGTTTGCAGTTGCTCACACTTTGTATAGGAGGAACCACGTGACTCAAACCATAGAGCTTCCGGTGAGTGGCAGTCGATGTTTGTGTTTATTTGGGTACTATTTACGGTGTTTAACCACGTTCTGCATAGTTTTTTAAAGATCTTTATATGTTGTTCTTTTATTGTTTGTTTTTTAACTTCATAAAGAATAGTGTACATAGAGTGCATATATACAGGTATGTTTGCAAACCTTGTTTTAATGTTATTTTAATGTTTTTGCACAGACAAACAAAGTGTCTTCAAACTTCAAAAGTTTATATGCATACCAAACATCAAAAAAAAAAAAAAATAGATTTTCACCCGAAAAAGTAGCACCCCCCCTTTTTTTTCAGAACTGATCGTTACTGAAATCTTACAAACGTCTTAAACAAATTAATATCGTGAGTCACGCCAGGGATAAAATAATTAAATCGCAACTTTATTGAGACATGCCATGATGGAACGTTATGTCATACCTACGACGCAAGATTATTTGATTGTATTTTCAATATTTCAGTCTCCCCAGGCCGGCTCGCCCAAGCGTAACGGAAACTCGGGATTGAACCGTGGCTTCTCCTTCGCCTCTCGGGCCAGTGAGTCCGACGGAACATGTCAAGCAAACTGCAGTATGCTTCCCAAAGACTCATGCAAGCGCTTTCATAAAGTGAAACCGAATAAAAAACTGGATGTTATTTCCCGGGTGATTTTCCCGGTCATTTTCGCCATTTTTAATCTCATCTACTGGTGTGTCTACACTCAGGTGTCTTTTAACGTGGATCCGCAACTCGGATAAAGATAAAGTCGGGATGTGTTTTGTAAAATGAACTGTCTTCTGTCTCATGTCATGCTACGTACATGTAATGAACACACAGTATATGAATATCATTATAAGTAACCATAAAGCATTAGTTACGTGAACATCGCGCTTCGCTGTCATCACATATGTATATTTATCATGGGTTTTTATGTTGACAAAGTGGTCAACAGTGTCATCAGACTTATAAATGTTTTCGTGTACATTTATGCTGCTAAAGGCTGAGAAAGAGGAAGACCATTACAAACAGTTGATAGTAATGGTTTTGTAAGAATGCACAGTTCCCGTTATTGAAGATGTTCAGTATTGTGTTAGGTGAGAAAAGGGCATTGTGTTGGGTGTGATGAGGACAGCGTATTGCACGTGAGCACTTCAGGCAAGAGCGCACTTCAGGCATGAGAAAATCAAACGCTGAACACAATTTTATCAAAGTTGCCGTTAGACCCAATGACAAAATAGCACAATAGGAAAAAAAGAAGCAATTTCTGATAAATGCGCTTATGTTGACTGCTCTGTATAATAAAGCATCTATAAGTGACATATTCAGTAATTGTTCAGAAAAAATGAATTCGATAAACATACGTGTACCCCAAAGCCCGTGAAGAGTGTACATGGTGGTTAGGTATCCTACAGAGACATTGCCGTATCTCAAAGAACGATCTGAAAAAAAAAAACCAACAGTGCGATACAGTGGGGAGATGAGTTCTGTTCAGGACAAGCCATAGATACAGAATATGTAATATTTATGCAGCTATATGTGGATGCTAGTTTCCCGGGGCTGACTTGATATACGTGTACGTGTATAAGTAAAGGGACATTTGAACACGTGTGTGATGTTTACATGTGTATCGTTTTTATAAGTTCTGTTATTGTGCATTGAACGTGCTTTAATAGTATTCACGTCTGCAAGTAATTGTATTGTTAACTATTTGTGCATTCACTTTTTAGTGGACTATATATGCTATTTTGTACATATAAGCCTTGTGTTGGGAGTAAATGGTATGTATATATATATACACGGAATAAAAACAATGTGATAGTGTTTGGTTTTCCAAAAAAGTTCAGAGTTATTTCTTTAAGTTTCCCTAGGTCTCTAATACAGTCGATACGATTGGGTCCGTTGAAGGAAATAAATTTAAATATAATGAAAATAAATTAAATTAAAAGTAAAAAAGTGGTTTGAGGAAGGATTGAGCTTCAAATAAAACAGCGTTATTTATTATTTAAAGAAACGGATTGCGGGTGGGGGATAAGAAAGCTCTTTTATACAGGACCAATTTCATAGTTTTCAAGACAGTTCACATGCACCCATTAGATTTAAACTTTATGTATAATCCGCTTTGTAATCTACTCACGCACACACAAACAATGCCACGTGATCAGTGGTAATGTAATGCTATAGTAAAATCTCCACAACACAGCATCATGGTTCTTTCATATGGAGTAGTCTTTAGTGCTCGCCAACTCGAACTGATGTTTATCCAATACCCTCTACCAGGGCCACAGACTGTTTTTTTTTCTCTAGATATATCCAAAGATACTGTATATCTCTGGTTAAATTGACAGCTTCATACTGTGAGAGAAAATATCCACAGTAATAACTGCAGCCCTGGTAGGGGGAACGTATCCGCTGGTATTTACGTTGCGTGGTCCTTTGGCCCTAAGAGATAAAGCAACGCAGTGGCCAAGGTCTATGGACAAACTAGACGCCCCAGTGTGACCTTCGATAAGGCTCAAATACTGCCTTAGATATGTTACAGTGTACCTGTTGTTATGTCGCTTGACACTGAGCGATCAATTTCACCTGAAAAAATGCCCCTCTCCCCCATCCAGTCTTCTTGATATTTAAATTTGAAATCTTTCTCGGTGGACTTCTAAAAATCCCTACCCCTTACCAGGAGCAAGGGTTTATTTTTCAGTAGATATCCAAATTTATTGGCTAATAACGGTATGTGCACTTTTCTTTAATGCGCTCAGCAGACAAACATTCCCCTCTGCAACAATATTGTCTCCCTACTGAAATATATACAGGGTATGAACAGTTAAGTACAGTTGCTTAGAACATTACAGCGATATCACAGTGACGTAAACATTAAATAACCCGTGCTCTATATAACTGGTTTTAATGAACGTGCTGTCTCAAAATAAATATATCGTCAAAATAGATTCACGTAATCTATTGCATTATGCTGGTAAAGAAGTAACCAAAGTAAATCGTTTCTAGAGATTATTCATTTTTTCGCCTGTGAGACGCATGGCGTTTTGACCTTTTATCACTACTTGGTTACGTGCTATGTACATCATTCGAATACACGTGCTGCATCTCACAGACGTCCGAGTTTTGTTTCGTGTCCTTCTCTTCAGATCCCCCCCTCGGGGTTCACGTCATCCGCAGCTGTATAATATGCATACGAATACTCGTCATCAAACGGCGCCCATGGGGCCTCAGCAGCGCCAAGTTCTTGATACTCAGGTCGACCGTCATTGTCCTCGCTCATGGCGGATCCATCGATGTATTCGCTTTTGACAAGAAACATGTAATTGTTAGCGTGACTCACAGAAGCACCTGTGTTTACCATGGGCTGCTGACTGGATGTGAGATCTGCTGTTCTTCGTTGTTCCTAATAAATATGTTACATTCAAAATGCTTAAAATAGATATAGATAATAAATATTTAATAAATAACATAATTATGACATAAATATGTAAAACCCTTATTTTCTCATAATTTTACCATTGCAACCACTTCATAGTTATTTCCACTTTTAAGTTCCGTACTCAAGTATGATAAAATCAAGAACAAAATCCTTACCTGTGCTTTTCTTGGATTTGATTGAACTGACCTGCAACGAGAAAAATATGTACTGTAGCTTAAAGATATCTCTTTTTAAAGTAATTTAAGTAAACGGTCCGTTTCTATTGCACTTTACATAAATGCGACACCCAGGTGCTTACTATAAGTCAAACCTATCCTAATTGAACATTTTTGTACTTTTTCACAGATTACACATTACCTCTCAGAGCTGTCCTGTTCCCTCTTTGCCATTACAAATATAACACACTGTACTACGACAACAGCCGCCAGCGCCACTGATGTCAAGACTCCGGCTACAACCCCGAGAGTGTTATCTGAGTTTGACCAGGGAATTATATCGGATATAATTCTCTGGTTTGATGCCCTCCCTGGCGTTGTGGCTGAGGTTGGGTCCACAGAGGTCCCTGAAAGTGTAGCGGAGTTTTTATACCCGACATAATGAGGGACATGAACTAGCTACGGATTGGGAATTTTCCTGGTGACTTTGTACTCTTTATCAACTGAGTTCAATTTCTTTCAATTTACTTCAATAGCCTCACTCGTTTTAAATATATCTAGTTTTTTGAAAAAATAAAGTTATAAACATGAACAGCACATACATATTGTTTCTGGACGCCTCGGTGAAATATAAAAGTATTCGAATGTCCTTTTTTTTTTTTATAAAAATAAGAATTTATAAATAAAGTTTCTTTTAAACGTGTTTCTTCAATGGGAATATAAAGACGACTTTACATTAGTTAAGTATAAATTTGTTTCTAAATTTCGTATCATTGTTTTAGTAGCTTACCAGCAGAAGTATCAGACATCAAACCAGATGTTGTAATGTCAGGTTTGGAAGTCGTGGTGGGTTTTTGGGAAGTGGGAACAGACGTAGGTATTATTTTCATAGTACTGGTAGTCACGAATGCGGTTAGGGTGGAATTTGAAGTGTTTTGTGGACAAGTGAGTCGCCTACAGTACTCCACAGGAGAACCACAGCTGCCGTTGGGTGCACGGCTACAGTTGCTAAGTCTCCATCTGCCATTATTGCACAAATAATACTGTGTGCAATCTGCAGGATTTGGGGCAAATGCATCCTCTGGCGCACAGTTCTCGTCATAGTATCCACACGGCCAGGAATCTTCATGAAAATAAATATATAAACGTAACAGTGATAAAGGCATCGTAAAGTTAATTAAACTTGTTTCACCTTGTACATCTATAGTATTACCTTTTTTCAGTTGTTGTATGTTCAGCAAAGTAATTATTACTTACTGGAAAACAGTTATTAAATAAGAGGAATATGGCCCTACACTACACATCATTTAGGCATATGTGTACTAGCAACGCAACTCTATTCAAGAACCAGTACATGTACGGTTATAATCAGTGAATACTATTGGCGAAGACATTTATATGCACTGTAATACTTACTGCTACCTGGCGCCCAATGGTTCACTATAAAACACAAACAAAGGAGGCCGAGGTGATACACCGACATTATTGTAATATGTTTATGACGGACAAAACACATCGGTAACCGCCATGTTGTCGACAGGTAAAAATGTACGAAAAAAAAAAACAACAAGGAAGTAAATTCTTAGGTCAACCCAATAACGTTGAAACTAGACATGAGCCGGGTACTCAACATCTATCATATGGTATTTTCTCCCTATACATAGTGAGCATGTGAATGACAGCACCCAGTTCGCTGAGCTCCATTATTGCGTCTCTGCACTGCAGGGGAAGAATAAAGTTAGCTTTTGGAAACCGGAGTGTGTGCCTCCCTGTCTGCTCATCTATTTACACGAATTAAATATCACGGAATTGTATTGCAACGTTTAAGTACTTAATATGATACTAACAAAGCTCCGTAGAAGCAGGTGGATGTGTTTACATGTTTGGTGCTCTGAGACAAGGGGTGGAGGTCATTTGGGAGGATTAGGGATGACCTCAAAACTTGTGTGACGGTATTATGAGGATGGTTCCTGCTCTGGTAATACCTTTATTCAAACAATATTAAAAATAGAATCGGTGTCAGTTTGTCGATCTGACAGATTTGTTCTGAATTTGTGATAACTTTAATGCACAGATGTTTTAATCCCGCAAATAAATGTCAAACACGTGGGTTTGCACTGAACCATTGAAAGACCATTACGTCTCTTAATCTTGAAATATTAAATTATGTCGACATGAATCCATACACTTGAGCTTGTTGTATAATACCCATGGCCTGTCATTCGTAAAAGCAAGAGACATCTATTTTCCGAAAAAAAAGTTTTCAGAGGATCTGCACCTAAATGTTTTTTAAAGTCGATGTATTTCTTAAAGTCAAGTCTCATTGAATACTTTGAAGTTTTCATTATCAAATCCTTATGAAGGCTATTGCTGCCTGCGTGGCTACTGTAACACATTGGAATACATATGTTGTAACTCATAGACGTCTGATTTATGTTTCTTGTCCTGTTCTCCTGGTTCTACAGTGGCTTTCCTGCCACCAGCAGAAGCATATGCATATGAATACTCGTCACTAGATGGCGTCTCAGCAGAGCGAAGTTCTTGATAACCATTTCTATCTTCATTGACCTCGCTCATGGCAGATCCATCGATGTATTCGCTTTTGACAAGAAACATGTAATTGTCACCGTAATTCCTGGAAGCAGCTGTGTTCGCCATGGGGTACCCTTTGGACGTGAGATCTGTTGTTCTTGCTTGTTCCTGATAAATATTGTATTAGATACTAAAGTAATTAACATCTTGAAGCAGGTTGGGAATAGTTATTAGAAAACAGTTTTGGTTATGTTTTCATAGCTAAAAACCCATTTCAATTATTATTTACAAAGCGATTATTAAAAAAAATGTATTCCTTACCTTTGCTACTGCTTGAATAGATTGATCTGACCTAAAATGCATACAACGGTGGTTTTAAGAAACACATATAGATTAAAAAAACTGAATAGGTATTTTCATTCTTGTGCCAAATCTATATTTAAACTTTGCTGTAATATGTCACTCGACGATTTAGGGAAGTAATAATATATCAAAATGTATGTATGTATGAAAAACATTAAACAGAGACTCCTAAACTCCTGTGGATAATATTCATAAAATGTCTCAGTAGTTTTTTAAAAAATGATCCTTTACCTCTCATTACGTTTTCTTCTCCTCCACAGAATCACATGCCCCAAACACTGTATGATGTTAAGTAGTGCCAGAGCTACTGATGTCACTATACCGGCTACAGCGCCAGGGGTGAGAGAATTCTGGGAGACTGGACCCCTTCCGGTGGCTCTGGCTAAGATTGGTTCCGCAGAGGTCACTGAAAGTATAACAGAGTTTTTATATCCGATACAATGAGAAACATGACCTTGTTACTGATTTCGAGATAAATAAGTTCAAATTGTTTCATTTTTCTTTAATATCCTCACTCGTTTTTAATGAATGTAGTTTTTCAAAAATAAAGATATATACATCGTATACATACTTTTGTGGAAGCCTCAGTGAATATATAAGAATTCATTTTTTAAAATCAAATTTTGTAAATCAAGTTTCCCTTTAACGATTTTTTCCCTTGGAAAATAAACAAGGCATTAAATTAGTTTAAGTATAAATTTGTTTCTGAATTTTGTATCATTGTTTTAATAACTTACCAGCAGCAGTATCAGACATCAAACCATATGTTGTAATATCAGTGTGGGAAGTGGTAATGGGTCTGGGGTAAGTGGGAACAGACCTGGGTGTTATTTTCATTGTTGTTACTTCTGATGTTTGGGTGGCCATCGTTGGCGAGATAATTTGTAGACAGGTGACTCGTCTTCAGAAGTCCACTGGAGTACCACAGCTGCCAAGGGATATATTTCTACAGCTATAAAGTGTCCATTTGCTATGCACACACCGATAATACTGTGTGCAATCTGCAGGATCTGGAGCATATACATTTCCCATCGGGCAGCTCTCATCATGAAATCCACACGTCCAGGCCTCTTTTCATGAAAACAAATAAACGCAAAAGTTATAAAGGCACCGTAAAATATATTAAGCTTATAATTAGTTCACCTCATACAACTGCAGTAACTGTTAACCTGTTGCTGTTTGTTCAGCTAAGTAATAAGAGGAATGACCCTGCACTACACATTTAAATTGTATACATGTATGTACAAGCAACGCAACTCTATTCAAGTACCAGTACATGTACAGTTGCAATCAATGCATGCCGTTGGTGAAATCATACATACTTTACTTATTATATGTGCAGCTAGTTACATTTATATTCAATGTAATACTTACTGCTTCCGGGCGACCAGTGGTTTACTATAAAACACAAACAAAGAATACCAAGTTGTGACACTGACATTATTGTGATATGTTTATGACATACATGACACGTCGGTAACCGCCATGTTATCAACAGGTACAAATATACAAATAAAAACAAGGAAGTAAAAAGAGGTCAATTTGATAACGTTGAAACGGGTACTCAACATCTTCATCCATGGTATTTTCTCCCTAAACACAGTGTTCATGTGAATGACTGTACCCAGTTCGCTGAGTTTCGTTATTGCGTCTCTGCACTGCAGGGGAAAAATTAAGTTTGCCTGTGGAAAAAGGAGCGTGTGCCTCCCTCTCCGCTCTTCTAGATCCACGAATAAAATATCACGAAATGGCATTGCAGTGTTTGAGTATACTAACATGTAGGCAGGTGGATGTGTATATATGTATGGTTCACCGAGATAAGGGGTGGAGGTCAGTTGGGGGGGTGGGGGGTGGGGTGACCGCGGAAGTTCATTGTGTATGGATGTGGGTATTATGAGCATGGTTCTATGTGTCTCATAGCGTCTTTTCACTTTTTTTGCTTTTTGAAAACGAATGCACCCCCTCAACTATCCCCTACAAAATACCTGCTCAGGTCATAAAATACCTTTATTTAAACAATAACAAAAATAGAATCGGTTTCAGTTGGTCGACCTGACAGATTTGTTCTGAATTTCTGATAATTGCTCTGCACAGATGAATTAATCTCGCAAATAAATGTCAAACATGTGACCAGTGGTATTTGTTCTGAACCATTGAACGATTTCATAATCTTGAAATATTAAATTATGTCGACATGAATCCATACACTTGTTGTATAATACACATGGCCTGTCATTCGTAAAAGCTAGAAACATCTATTTTCCGAAAAAAAGTTTTCAGAGGATCTGCACTTAAATGTTATTTAAAGTCAAGTCTCATTATATCATTTGAATTTCTCATTATCAATTTCTTATGAAGGTTATTGCTGCCTGTGTGGCTACTGTAACCCATTGGAATACATATGTTGTAACTCATAGACGTCTGATTTATGTTTCTTGTCCTGTTCTCCTGGTTCTACAGTGGCTTTCCTGCCACCAGCAGAAGCATATGCATATGAATACTCGTCACTAGATGGCGTTTCAGCAGAGCGAAGTTCTTGATAACCATTTCTATCTTCATTGCTGTCGCTTGTGGCTGATCCATCGATGTATTCGCTTTTGACAAGAAACATGTAATTGTCACCGTAATTCCTGGAAGCAGCTGTGTTTGCCATGGGTTGCTTATTGGATGTGAAATCGGTTGTAGTTGTTTGTTCCTGATAAATGATATATGAAATATTTGTGTAATTAAGATATTGAAATAGGTTGGGCTTAATAATCAGAAAACAACTTGAATTGTTTTCTTTTCTAAAAACTCTTTTTACTATTAATAGTTATTGACTAGGCCTCGTTCCTGTGAGGAATACGCATTTAGGAAATAGAATTTAGAAACCAGAAAAAATATCTTGAATCTTACCTTTCCTACTGACTGGATTGATAGATCTGACCTAAATTGAATACAACGGTGGATTCAATAAACACCCTAACACCAATTTAAGAGAATAGTTTTTTGTTTCATTCCAAACACAATTACACTTTACTATTATATGTAACTCATTGCTATAAGAGAGCATAAAATAACAAATGTATGAATGAAATACGTTGGATATAGAATCCTAAAATACTGTAGGCAATACTCCTAAAATACAGTAGTTATTTAAAAACGCTTCTTCACCTGTCAGTACGTTTAGTTCTCCGCCACAGAATCACAAGCAGCACACTCTGTATAAGGTTAAGTATTGCCAGCGCCACAGATGTCACGATACCAGCTACAACACCAGGGGTACATGTAAGTGAATTTCCTGAAACTGACCCGCTTCTGGGCTCTGTCGTTGAGGTTGGTTCCGTAAAAATCACTGAAAGTATATGGAGATTTTATACCTGACACAATGTGGACCCAGGAACTTGCGAGATATGACGTTGTATGTTATTTTCATCTCCACAGAGAAAGTCACTTCCAGTTTTCCTGAATGTATAAAATTTCGTTTCAAACAATTTTTTTTAATCTGAATTGAATAACCATGTATATGTATGCTTGAAGTTATAATAAAGTTTAGAATTATTATTGAAATTTGAATTTAGAATCACTATTCAAAATGATGCTTAAAATATGTTATAACACGCTCCGTCGGTGACAAAGTAAGTAAGAAATATTGCAACGCAGGATAAAAAAGTTTAAGTAAAGTTTAAGTATGCTTGCATTTATTAAGCTTGCCAATATTATTGTAATAACTTACCAGCATCAGTATCAGACGCCACACCATTTGTTGTAATAGGACTGGTAAAGGTGTGTTGGTATTTGGGGCTAGGCCTTTCAGTATGTATTGTTTCAGTAGTTCTTGTCATTAAAGATTCACTCGATGATATGGTAGACATCGTCGACGAAGTGGTTTCTGGGCAAGTAACTCGTCTACAGTATTCCACTGGAATACCGCAGCTGGTAGGGGATATATTGCTACAGTTATAAAAACTCCATTTGTTATGCACGCACCGATAATACTGTGTGCAATCTGTAGGGTTTGGAGCAAGTGCATCTCCTCCTGGACAGTTCTCGTCATAATATCCACACGGCCAGGCCTCTTTTCACGAAAACAAATAAACGCAACAGTGATAAAGGCACCGTAAAATATATTAAGTTTAATTAGTTCACCTCATACAACTACAGTAACTGTTTGCCTGTTGTTGTTTGTTCAGCTAAGTAATAAGAGGAATATGGCCCTGCACTATACATCATGAACTAGCAACGTAACGTTATTCAAGTACATGTACCAGCACATGTACGGTTAAAATCAATGTATACCATTGGCGAAGTCATACATGCTGTATTTACGTGTACAGCTAGTCACATTTATATACAGTGTAATACTTACTGCTTCCTGGTGTCCAGTGGTTCACTATAAAACACAAACAAAGGAGGCCGAGGTGATAAACTGACATTATTGTAATATGTTTATGACATACATGACACGTCGGTAACCGCCATGTTAACAACAGGTGCAAAAAACAAGGAAGTAAATTCTAAGGTCAATTCGATAACGTTGAAACTTGACATGAGCCGGGTTCTCAACATCTTCAACCATGGTACTTTCTCCTTTAATATAGTGTTCATGTGAATGACCGCATCCAGTTCGCCGAGCTCAATTACTGCACTACAGGAGAATTACTAAATCAAGTTTCTTTTGGAAAAAGGAGCGTGTGCCCCCCTCTCCGCTCTTCTAGATCCGCGAATAAAATATCACGAAATGGTACTGCAATGTTTCAGTACAGAGACAGGGGGATGCGTAGACATGCATGGTGCACTGGGACATGGGGTGGAGGTCAGTTGGGGTGGGTGGGGGAGGGGGAATGACCCCAGAAGTTCATCGTGCATGGGTGTGGGTATTATGAGCATGGTTCTATGCGTCTCATGACATCTTTTCACCCCCTCCGCGTTCCTATGCAAAATACCTGCTCTGATCATAAAATACTTTTATTTAAACAAAAAAACTGAAACTGAATCAAGAACTCTGCATTTTCCACGCCGACAGAACTGTTGACCCCCATGCTGATGCAGTTGCAGAGGAAAGGCGCTGCCAGAGCAACCCAAGCCAACTCTCCGTATCTTCGTTTTCAGACTCATAATCACATTCAGCGTCCTTGTTAAATATATTGAGGCGTTGGATCATCGCTGCGCTGGAGCGATGCTGAAGGTTGCAGATGAGGCATAGCGTTGTGTGAAGACGAAGCACACTTCAAGCTGTCTGTGGGAAGAATGACGGCGACGTCTATTATATGGGCTAGATGCTGAGTTTACAAATGTAGGACTTGTCAGCGACAGTTCACTCAGCAGTTTTTTTCAGCGACAGCTGTCTTCTCAGCGGCCCTCGGCGACAGCGGTCTTCTCTGCAGCGGCCCTCTATGACAGCGGTCTTCTGAGAGATCCTGTAGCCAGACGATTGGTGGAGGTATGTCTAAACTCTCATTAAACCAGTGGATGACTGTACTCAAACAAGCCAGGTTCCAAGCAATGGTGAAATTATATTGAAAGGAACTTGTTTCCACGTTATAATTGCACTACAGACATGTAAAACTAAAAGGCACTAATATCCGACAAGTATATTATGGACGCATTCAGATTCGCACGTGGTACTAGCTTGTTCGATCCAACTCTGCGTGGGATTCTCGCTTAAGTACCATCGGTGGGATCACCTTTATCAGCACAGGATACTTAATCACCCGTAACTCCTCAAGAAGGCCTGTTAGACAATTAAGTTTAATACACTGATTGCACTTGAAGGAGAATCTCTCGCACAGTTGGACTGACCCAGCTTTTGCAATGTGTAAATCCGATGTGTATAGTCTAAATAACTCCTAGCTGCGTATTAATACAGCTGGGAATCTAGGTCAGAGAGGGGCAGCAAATGCAAGGGAGCACATGCCCATTTGACAAATTTTCATGCAGTACTTATTAACTGGCGAAAGCTGACTTTGTTAAAAGTGTGTAGAATCAAATGTTGTGTAGGGAGTCCAAGAGCAACCTAAGAGCTGACAAACAAACGGTAATGCAACGAGAAGCACCTAAACTGGTTTATATTGCCTTTTTTTTTTATAAAAAATACTCACGTCTCAGTTTTTAAGAGAAAAAGAGATAATTAACCATTCCCATCTAGAGCCCACATCAATTTATTGTTACAAACTTAAACATGCCCTTTTGAGAAGGAATGCAATTAGCTTATTAGAGGTTAAATAAACGAATAAGGCATAAAATTGGAAATTTTAGCTGAAAACTGCATACTTTTTTTACAATCCCTCTCATAGTCCAGTATATAGGAAACTTGACTTGAAACTACTTTATCGCCATTGTTTATAATTTATTTCAAAGAGGTTTTGCGGGATTTGGAAGCTAGTGGAGTCGGAAATGAGGGCAGATTAGCCTGTGCGGAGCGGCGACGTATAACAGCTCAGATAATTTATCCATGGATGCTTTTTTGGTTGTTCTTTCATAAATTCCGGCGAATATCTGTCTGTTCAACCGTACGAATTCATTATGTTGTGCGTGTCAATAATACATTGCTTTCAGTGTAAGACGATAATCCTTAAATTTCAACATCGACGCACAGATGGTTTAACACTTACGCGGTTTCTTAAACGTTTTGTAATTTCGAATGACATCACACATGTCGCAAGTC